TTTGCAGCCTAGGCAGTTTCTAGTACCATGCGTCTACCTGCTCATGTGGGTGCCACGGACCGCAAGGACAGGACAAGGGTGTGTGTGCGCAGTGGAATTTAGTTACTGTGATCACGGGCTGGCCAGACACACACAGACAGGCTCAGCCGCACCCCCCCCCAAAGCAGCTATGGTCTGTAAGTGATAGTATATGGATTCCTGGAAAGGTTTTAGTAGAGGCACCTCTTAGAGACCTTCTATTTCTGCGACAATGTTATTTTAAGAACATATCAAAAGTGAATGGCAAAAAAGAACCATGACTTTTGAGATTTCACATCCAACAGAAATACAGAACTTGATATTCACAATTAATCGTGTGACTCTGAACAGTTATCTGTTCAGTTATTCTAAATCTGAAGTTATTCTTAATTATTAATTAATACATCATTCTTTAAATTATATAGAAGAATCTCAACAGAGGGTAGTTATACCATATTCTATGACCCATTAGAGAGGGTATTGGTATTATAAATTGACTCAATTAATTTTTAAATTTAATTTCATATTAATAATCAAAAGCAATTTAAACTCAAGACTCCCAGAAGCTTCTGTGGAAACCATCACTAAGGATTCACATGTGTGTTTGGTAAAATAGACGAGAAAAATCTAAGCAGGAAAATTCCCCCAGCACATCAGAGATCCTGTAGAGTCGAAGAGTCAAGCAACGTTCTCATCACTTGCTGCCAAAGGGGCTTCACCAAACAGGCGGGAGCTGAGGCAGTGACGACCCAGTTCAAGGTTCTCAGCCTTGATGCCATTACCTTCAAAGGCAGGAGAGGCCAGTGTATGGCGTAGGGCATGTCCTGATGTCTACCCGCCGGGGCCGGGGCCACCTCCCCTGCCACTGGTGACGGCCGGTGTCCCTGGGGGACACTCAAGAAGCACTGATGAAGGAACTGACTGGGGTTGAAGTTCAACTCCCAAGCAAGGTTAACGTCTACCTTAACTTTTGGGAGAATTCCCTCTGCCAGGACTGACCGGGCCATCGAGACTGAGCGCGTTCAGTCTGGACACGGTACACAGGCCGCTGGCAACCTGAGCCCGGATTTCAATTTTTCTGCTTATTTCGGCAGCTGTGAGTGAGAACGGGCTGCAAATTCCTCTCCCTCGGCAACCACACAACATAGTAGAAATGGGCTTTGAGTTATTTCCCAAAGGAAGGTTAGAAAGGCAAGGAGGTTAAGTGAGCGGCGGGCCCTGTGTCCTCAGGGTGCTCCTCAGCCAGTGTCCACCTCGGTCGAGGGCGGTCAGGCGCAAGAAGGGCAAGTGCTGTCAATTAGTCCTGAGGCCAGTTGCATTTTTCTCTCTTTCTGAAAGCTTTGTTCTTGTAAAATAACCGCTGTGATCAAAGCAAGAAGAAAAGCGAGGCCGGAGAGCCGTCAGTCCCCGTGATGGGAAATGGGGGCGGCCCTCGCTGGCCGGGGTCACCGCCTCCTGCAGGCCAGGGCTGCTGCCCAGAGCTGCCAGGGCCACATCAGAGGCGCCGGGGAGATGCTTCATAAATGAGATCACATTAATAATTGATTCTCTACAATCATTGATGAGAAACAGGCTTTATTTCCTTAAATTAAAAGCAAGTCTTGGGCATCTGCTGAAGGTATGCCAGTTTCGAAACAATGAGATTTCCAAGCCAGCTTCTCTTCCTGTTGATATGGGAAAATTCGGATGAAGCCAAAAGATGGACCTCACAGAGGACATCTGCTACGGTGCGATGGGTCTCCGTTGCTGCACGAGCCTTAGAACTCCTCAGGGGGTGCCCTGAATTTTCAAGGGAGGCAAATGAAAAGAGACGCCCTATGGGGGCTCTGCAGAAGCCAGTGCCAAGCCCCTGTCAGCAGCAGGCTCGGGGGCAGCCTGGTCATCCGGAGACCGCTCATCCGGAAGCCACCCCACAAAAGCCCCCTTTTTCCCATCACAGGTTCCAGGGCGGTTCCCTGGACGAGCCCAGACGTGACCATGTTTGAAGGGCAGGGCGTGGGGTGCATGCGTCAGCCCTGCAGCTCCCCCACCCTCCCTGCATCGCCCCGGCAGGATGAGAGCCAGGACCCCCACTTCTCCTCTCACTCAACAACAGAAGCCGCAGCCACCACAGCGGGATGCCCTTTGACCTGGGGAGGGGACAGGACAAGGTGCACTCAGGGGTGTTCTTCCCACACCTGCTGTGGCTGGACACTACCGGCCGCTCCACGGCAAGTCGCAATTTGGACTCGGGAGTCACTGACGGGGAGGGCTCCACGAGGCCTCTAGGATGCTGAGATGACCCCGAAGTGGAAGGGGAAGAGGAACATCATCTGCTTTCTCACCGCCGAGCCTGAAACTATGGTGAGGCAGGAGGAGAATGTGGGGGAGAGGGAGGCACAGAACAACGCAGAGCAGCAGGTGCTCGGGCGGGACGGAGCGGAGAGTCACATCCACACATCCCGTTCCTTGTCCACACACATTCAAATGTGTCCACTGGCTCCAAAGAGCCCAGCACAGCATGGATGGTTTGTTCCGTTCCCAGGTGCAATCTGGATCAGGCGCTTCAGGCGATTGTCCTGTTTCTCCCCATTGTGGCAGCTCTTGGTTCTTTTTACACCTTTCATTAATTTCTATGCCCTTCATTCTTGAGGAGGAGAAGCCAGGCCTTTGTAGACCGTCCTCCTGTTCTCACTTGTGTGATGGTCCCTGGGGATGAAACTGGTGCAAACTTGTGGTGGGAATATCGACCGTGTCCCGAGTCCTCAGATCAGGACGCGTTACTGCCGCACACTGTGTCCCATTACTGGTGAGGTGTCTTCAACTCGCAGGTCACGGTGGAGCTGGCTGGGTTTTTTTCTGTGGAGTAACAGGTTTCCCTCTCGTCATTAATAAATATGTTAGAAAACACCTTGTGATGATATAAGTATTTTGATCATCATCAGACTCACATCCCCGAATTTTAGCATCTATTGATTATTTTTGCCTGAATCAATCTTTAGTGCGATGGTTGCCAAACGGTAACTTTGTAAATAAAATATCCCTTCAATGTTTAGTGTTTGGAATTTTACAGTAAGGCAGAACACTCCGTCTTCCTTGATTGTGTATTCATCCATTTATTTTTAATGTTAGTATTTACTCATGGATTCTTGAGTTTGTGCAATGTAGTAGAATCTGATACTTTCACTTTTTTACTTTGATAACCAAATTTACCCAGATTTCTTCAGCAAGTTCACTTCAAGTTGGCTCCAGATCTCATTCACATATTCTCCTATTCCTTTAAAATTTTGTTAATTTCTAAAACAACAAGATCTTCCAAGCTTATCAGGAACTTTTCCTTCTCCAGCCCCAGAATCAGCTGCTTCTCTAAGAAAGTTTGGCTCCTTTCTGTGAAGAATTATATTTGGAAATAAGCAGCACGTACTAGGTGTTCACTGCTGCTAGGAAGACAAAGCCTCTCGAACCTCCCAGCCAAGAGAGCAAGAAGCTAGGAATAGGGACTACCACCTGCCAGCACATGTCTGCACACACCCCAATATATAAACACACCCCAGTATACATCCAGCACCCCATAACACATAATATGGAACATCAACTATACCATGAAAATCAAAATGAGCATCAGATAGGTTCCCCCCTCCCCCTGTTGAGAGACAAACAATTTCTTTACAGACGATTTAAAGCTAGACTTGGAAAATGTATTTCACTTAAATGGCTGATCATTTTGATCTCTTTTCAATGCATTCAGCTTTAGCCACCCATCAAATCATTTAAAGATTTCTGTGATATAGTAAATGGCAGTTTCAAGACAGTTCACTGCTCAGTGAAGAAGACATGAGGATGACAATTGATTCTTTATTGTCATCACCTTTAAGAAACAAAACAATTAGCAATATGACTTCCCCTGTATGAATGCCCAGGAACATCAATCACTACGTCCATCTTTTGGGCGAGCCTTGTTGAACGTAACAGTGGCAGTGTGGGGTGACCGGATTCCACGACATTTCCCAGACCAGAAGCCCCACAGGGCTAGGAGCCAGGGGTTCGACCGCCAATCCAGGTCGAGCAGCCTTTAAAGTCCTTGCTTTTTATCCACAGAAGCGTGGCTTGTGGGAGTGACTGATATTGTCTCTGCTCAATACAAATAGACTTAAGATCAAGCCCAAGCTCCCAACACCTCCTAGATGTTTCCACACACCAGTGTTATAAAGTGAAGAAAACACCATACACTCCTCTCCAATCGCTCAGAGCCCTAATGCAGAGGGTGATATTAAAACTGGGAGACAAATGTTTTGCAAATGACACACAAACTAAGGACTCTAGCTCGCTCAGCCGGGAGTCCAGAAGCCAAGGCAAGGAGGGCCTGGCCCTTGAGCCTCCCCTTCTCCCCAAAAACCCTGCCTCTCACGCTTTCCTGAAGACAGGTTGGTGGCGGCGGGTGACAAAAGTGGTTTCGGGAGCCATGTCTCCCCCTAAGGCAAATACTTGATCATGCACAAAGATCTCAGGCCCTCCCCAACTATAAGAACAGAAGTAAGGGCACTGCCATGTAGCACCTGTCATTTTTTGGAATATGTGAGTTTTAACCCCCATATTTATATCTTTTTAATTATAAATGATCAAGAAAACCAAAGCTCCTTTGCTATGGGGAATGCTTTTGACAAGAATGTGATAACGGAATGCATCCAACAAATCAACAATTATTCTAACCCGTGAAGGGACATCCAAACACGGGGCAACAACCTCCGAACACTCTGCCATCGGATGAGGACGGCACCCGAGAAGGAAGAGGGGCTGCCAGGAGGGACAAAGAACTAATTGGGAATTCAACCTGGCGGCGACTCGCATCACACAGGGCAGGCAGAGCCCTGCTGCTGACCCGCGGAGGGAAGCGTCCCTGCCTGCCTTGATTAAGGCCTTTCCATGCGTCTGTCTTCATCCCCTGGAACAGGGAGCTAATTGGGATGGAAAATGAAAGCTTGAGAAAAATAAATTGCACCTACCTGGATCAGAGACAAGTCCTCGAGCTGCAACCTGAAGAGGTAGTTTCTACAAAATACAAAAAGAGAGTGGTTTTACTCTTAATAGATGCAAAAATCTACACTCACAAAGATTATGAGAACAAGTCTGAAAAAAAATCATGAATTTTGGCTCCCAATGGATCCTCCTGCTAGGAATGTATGTAGCCCAGTTTTCCTTGGGCCTCAGAGTTCAAGGAGGCATTCAGTACATCAACAGACACACAGCTGAGCTTGTGAGAGCTTTAGGCACAGGGTGCTTGGGAGTATGTGTGGGTGACAGAGACAGAGAGACTAAGGTAAATCTAAACTAATGGTTCTCTTGATCTACCTGGAAACAACAAAAGGACGTAGGCATGAGATTCTGGAACTGAGTCTCAGTCAGCCTTTATTAAACTATTCTTCACAGGTCTTGCTGCTTAGAGATCGCCTGCAGCATTCACCTGTTCTATAATTCAAGCATGTGCAGGTTTTGAATTCTGTGGTGGTGGAGTATAAAGATGATCTAGAGTGTTGGTTGCATCCAGTGTGTAGTAAATATAGAAGTTTGAACTTGTCCTGCCATTGCGGCTTGGAAAGGGTCAGCCCTGGCTGCCCAAGTGTGAAGAAGGAAATCAGAGACAAGAAAAGCATCAATTTAACAATGAATGGGAAGAACCGCTAAGTATGTGATCGAGATCAGCAGAGCAGGGCAAACATACAACATAGATGTGGGTCATGGGAGGTTTGCACTCGAAACTATAGCTTTTAGAAACTATGAATTGTCCTCATGAGTGATGCTTTGGCCTCTAATTCCAGTCACAACACCACCTCACCTTCCTGAACATGAGAAGGTGCTGTGTTAGGGGCAGTACCCCAAGGCTGGACAGACGGCTGATCACCTAGGTGAAAACAATGGCAGAGAGATGGGCACAGAATGCAAAGCAAACCCTAAGATGCCAGGATCATGAGGAGGGGTCTCCAGGAAGATGAGGGCATTGGTATCAATGCACTGGTCCTAGGTTATTTCCATGGCACTAAGAGAACAACAATGTTCTCTGATGCTCGATGGCCTAGTACAGAGAAGGTCCAAAACAAGATCTGGACTCTTCCCTTGGCTGTCTTTTCTGGGTTAGAAAATATAAGTTGGTGATTCTTTTAACTCATCCTCGATTTTTTGATCTAAAAGAAAATCACAGAATCCAAGAATTCTAGACCTACTGTGTCATTAGAGAGAATATACCCTTCCATTTATTAATGAGGTCTCTTCCAAAAATTAAGGGTTGCAGTGTGATCTATCTAAGTTCATTAGGAGTCAGAGAGAGTCCTAGGAGGAGAAATAAGACCACCCTTGGCGTCTGTGGTCTCACTGTGCTGCATGGCATCACTGGTCAGCCTTCAGAGTCCCCAGACAATTTCACCAGCACCAAGCACACAAGCAGACCCACAGACACACACGGTAAGAGTTCCCTGGTAAAATTATTTCTCAACTTCATTGTTCAGTCACAAATACCTTCACAAATCATTTTGAGACAAGTCAAGTCTTAGAGCCACTATGACAAGCTTCTGAGTCTAGGTAACCGACTCTTGCTTCTGGGACCAGGATCTGACTGTGACATATGACTCCCCATTAGGAGAACATCATAATCCTCCTGGGTGGGATGATTAAATAACACCTCTTTTCTTGCTTTTATTTTTTTCCTTGAATTCTTCCTGAAACTGCCCGCCCATCCTTCTTTTAAGAGTGGCCAAGTTTTTCATTTAAAAAATGAAAGCTAGGGGCCTCCCTGGTGGCGCAGGCAGCTGAGCGCAGCGCTGTGAGGCTGTCCGCAGCCTCTGCAGTGCGGGTTCAATCCCCGCCAGCCTCAGAGCAAGCCACATGGAGCGCAGACCTCTCCTGTCTCGCCTGCTGCTCCCCTCAGCAGTGTATTTTGTCAGCTGCCTGTTCTGCTCCCCTCTCTGAATCCTCTCACCCTTCCGCACATCTTGCCTATACCCCGGCTCTTGTATAAATAAAATAAATCTTTAAAAATTTTTTTAAATTAAAAAAAATAAAAAATGAAAGCTAAACTACAATCTGTCAGTTTACTTAAATAACACAAATTCGTAAGCGATTATGATCCTTTTTAGATACATGACATGACCCAGCAGAGCTGGATGGACGCGTGGTCCTCTGGTGAGAGTTGTTATCATGGCCGATTCAACAGATCCTGACAAATACTAGTCAAGTAATGTTATTTTTTGCAGCTGAGACCCTATTTCAAAATCACCTTAAATAAAAACATATACAGGAAGTAAAATAATTTTTATCAGAAAAATGTATTCAATTAGTACTTCTATATCATAGTTGTTAATCATAAAATCAATTAGTTAAACTGACTTGAAATTTTTGAAATGGGAATTATCAGAACTATCTATCATCTTACATAGCCTCATTATTTATTTAAGGTCTGCTTTTGCATAGATAGTTCGGTTACATTTTTTTTGCTGTTTATTTGTCTAATTCTGTAGACAAGGAGTTGGTAGGTGCTTTCAAATTTCTGATTAATAAAAGACTGTGGTCTACACAAAACCAAGCAGTCCATTTAATGCCTTGCTGGGTCTTTCCATCTTAAAAATGTGCACTATTACACATGTCAGGATTCACGTTATCTATCATGATTTTCAACCACGACGGATGAAATATTGGTGGAATTTCCAATCACCTCCCTGGGACCTAAGAACCAAAAAAACAAGTTTGGCCTCCACTAGTCTCAGGACTCTTTCCTCCAACCACTTGGTGCCAAGCACAATTGCAAGTCCAGCTCTGGCACCTTCAACCCAGCACAGCCAGCGAGGGACCTGAAATCTCCCGAGACAGCCCCATCCATCACCGCTCAGGTCAATGACCTACAAAGCTAGAGGTTATAAAAAGAAAGAAAATCTTCTAAAGGGAATGAAAAATGGGTATTCCCAGATGTTGGGCCACTAGCACAGTAAAGTAAGATCTATGGCTCCCTGCGAGGGGCTGCTCCCCAGGGCACCGGAGCCCAGGCAAGCACTTCATCTTGCGATCGTGAGAGCGCAGGGCGGGGAGGCGTGTGTTTGGTCCCAGCAATGGCTACCACCTTCCCGGCATGAAGGAGCGATGCTAGCGGCTCCCAGGCAGCAGGAAGACTAACCAAATGCTGCATACGGGGTCAGTTTCTCTAACAGACCCAATCCTTTGAACAACCAAAGCATTTAAGTGGCCTCATTAATCTTCATTACACCCCTAGACGTAAACAGGGAGTAGTGGGATGCTGCCATTCTTCAGGCAAGAGCGCAGTGTGGCCAAGGCCAAGAGATTAGATTCTACAGTGTATCAGTCGTACAGCGAGGGAGCTGAATTTCCACTTACCCCTCTCACTACAGGGACACGAGGCAAACAGCGAGTGTTTACCATGCTGTAAAGGCTACCCTATTTTTTTGGCTATAGAAAATGAAAGGGTGAGTTTTCCCTCCCTTGGTCCAGCCTGCTTCATTCAGTCCTTTATTTATTTGTTCATCCATTTACTTATTGAGGTAACACTGGCTACAACGTCATGTGTGACTTGCAGATACGGGTCACACCCTTCAGCGGGATGCAGCTGCAACACACCCACCACCAAGGGCCTACTTTTTCTCCAAAATGTCTTGGAACAAAATTTGTCATTGCATAGTCAAAGGCCACACTGCATTAGTTTTAGAAGTCAGGTCTAGGAGGCCACAGAGATCCAAGAGGCAATCATCCTGATCGCCTTACATAGGCAGGGGCTGGCCAATAAACTGGACACCCATTCTTCCTGCCCCGCTGGTCATCTGAGTGAGTTTTCTCTCCCTTTACCCGAGCGTAGTTCCTGTTGGCTGTAGGAGTCATCGCTGCGTCTCCTCACACCCCTGGTGGTACCTGAGTGGTAAGTCACTAAGCCACTCTGAGGGAGCAGTGTGGGTCTTAATGGACAAAGTTCATTGGCGTCTTCGTGTTAAAGCAATAAAATGCAGGTGGCATTAAAGGAGAAGGTAGGCCACCACGAGCATATTAACTAAACGACTCGTTTTATCTAGAGACACTATAAAACTTAACTCTGACCTCCATTAATTATGAAAGACACAAGTGTTTTAAAATGACATTCTCTTAGAATAACTCAATTGGTCTCTGATGAATATGGCTATAAAATCAAAGAAAAAAATTCCAAGTTCTTCTTGAACATGTAGGATAGAGGCTGGCATATAAGAGAGGAGCAGAGACCGAATAACAAAGACAGACAAGCATTTTGTATGAAGAGAAAGCCGAGGCAGCAAGTAAATCTGTAAAATATGTTTTCAACAATAGTGACAAAAACTTATGTTTCAGTGCTTAATGGAAGTTTAGACCTTGGTGGCTGATGAAGCATTCAAAAGACAAAACACATCGCTCCATAAGCTGCCACCACTCGGGTAAATCTGAGAGCTGGCATCCACGGAAGAGTCTCACCTATACCTGTGCCAGCTTCGTCTGCGCAAAGATTTCTCTTGACTGCACAATTCTACGCTAATTGTTGTCGATATCCAGCTGGTACAGAGCTTAAAATGGCGACATCCTACACGATGCAAAAATTGTCAGTGGAATTGGTAGAACTGGAGATGAAATGACAAGACTGTGACTTTGAAACTAAAGGAAAGACAGTAACTATATCCTTTAAAGAACAGAGTATTTCCATGAAAAATATTTTAATTAACTAAATGCAGATATTTAATACAGAAATTGTATCAATAATTTTAGAGGATATGTAGATTTAATTTACATCATGTAACAAACTCATATAGTTGGCCAACCTGTCTATAATGGCTGTTCCTGAGATTTTCATTATGCTGGTTAACGCTAAACAAATTAGAGGAGTCTTTATTTCCTTGGTAATTATAACCACTGCAAAGTATCTTTCATGTACTTTTCCACAAATTTGGGGGAGTTTAATGAAACTTTTAAAGTACCAGACTATCCTAAATACATAACGCTATGTTTAATTAGTTGGACTGCATTTAAATCAGATTTTCAATGCTAAGGGTTTTTTT